TTCTGGGCAATCCATGAACTTGAAGGGAAGCTACAAAAAACAGACTAGTTTGTTGCAACTTCATTTGGCAAGTCCATTTTCTAGCAAGATTTATTGCCTAAGGCATTTGACTGGTAACTAGAAGGCTGGTAGTTCAAACTCACCAGCCACTCCTTGGAAGGAAGATTGGGCAATCTACTTCTGTAGTGATACTGCCTCGGAAACCCAATGAGGGGTCACTATGAGTTGGATCCGACTTGACGGCAGTGAGTTTATTTTGAATATCCAAAGGGTTGGAAATAAACAGTCTAGAGTAAGATATGTCCAAGTGAGATTTTTAAAATATGTAAAAAGGGGAAATGGTTATCACAAAGTCAGGATGGAGAGATGGAGCATGATTGGGAGGGGTAAAGGTGTTCTGTGGTGGCTAGTGTCTCACATCATGACATAGATGATGGCCATAGAGGTGTTTCCTTTATAATTATACATTAAATTGTACATATATTTAAAAAAGGTTAAATAAATAAAAAAGAAAACACACAGCATTTGTGGGCATGGGACAGAAACACAAATTGAGGCTACCCCCTCCCCCATCTTGTAGCCTTCCCTCTTTTTTCCTCCACCTCCAAACTCTCTTCCATACCATGAAGGAACTCACATGCAAGTGTGTGAATGCCCAAACTTAGTCTGCCACCCCTGCCCACAAACAAATGGCCACTTGGTCAATCCAAGGGCCTAGGGGTGCACACAACAATGGAATCCACCTTTAGGCATATGAAGAGAAAAGACAGAGATCTTGGAAAGGGCTTGGACCATTTGTACAAAGAAATTCGGAGCTGATTCTAGAAGGGGAGGTGTGGATTCTGAGTGGGCATCCCCAACCTTGGCCCTAAAGATTGTTTGCCTAGAGGAGTGCCAATTTGGGACCATTAAAACTCAAACTCCAGGGCAAAGATCTTAATTATATGATTAGAAAGATAGTACCACCATTCATCTGTCACTTTGTCATACTGTGGTGGCTTGAGTGTCGCTGTGAGGCTGTAGGCTATACCACCAGTATTTCAAATACCTGCAGGGTCACCTATGATGTACAAGTTTCAGCAGAGCTACCAGACTAAGACAGACTTAGAAGAAAGAAGGAGCCATCCACTTAAAAATTGGCCAGTGAAAACCTTATGAATAGCAGTGAAACACTGTCTGATATATTACTGGAAAATATGATGAGTAGCCCTGAAACACTGTCTAATACAGTGCCTGAAGGTGAGCCTCTCAGGTCAGAAGGTACTCAAATACAAGTGATTAAGAGCTGCCTCTTCAAAGTAGAGTCAGCCTTAATGACGTGGGTGAAGTAAAGCTTTTGGGACTTCAGTTTGCTGATGTGGCATGACACAAAATGGGAAGAAACAGCTGCAAACATCCATTAAAAATCAGAAGATGGAATGTATGAAGTATGACGCTAGGAAAATTGGAAGTTGTCAAACATGAAATGGGACGTATAAAGATTGTTATCCTAGCCATTACTGAGCTAAAATGGACCAATTTTGGCCAGTTTGAATCAGACAACCATATGATCTACTATGCTGGGAATAACAAGTTGATGAGGAATGGTGTGGCATTTATTGTCACAAAGAATGTTTCAAGATCTATCCTGAAATACAATACCGTCAGTGATAGGATAATATCCATATGCCAAAAGGAAGACCAGTCAGTGATAATATTACTCAAATTTACACACCAACCAGCAAAGCCAAAGATGAGGAAATTAAAGATTTTTACCAACTTCTGCAGTCCGAAATCAACCGAGCATGTAACCAAGATATGTTAATTATCACTGGTGCTTGGGATGCAAAAGTTGGAAACAAAAAAGAATCACCAGTAGTTGAAAATATGACCTTGGTGTTGGAAATGATGCTGGAGATCACATGATAGAATTTTGCAAGACCAATGATTTATTCATTGCAAATACCTTTCTTCAACAACATAAATGGTGGCCGTCCATGTGGACTTCACCAGATGGAATACACAGGAATCAGATCAACTACATCTGTGGAAAGAGGCAATGGAGAAGCTCAATATCTTCAGCTAAAACAGCTGGGAGCTGACTATGGAACAGACCGTCAACTGCTCATATGCAAGTTCAAGTTGAAGCTGAAGGCAATTAAAACCGGAGCCAAAATATGACCTTGAATATATCCATCCTAAATGTAGAGGCCATCTGAAGAATAGATTTGATGCATTGAACACCAATGACCAAAAAACAGAGGAATTGTGGGATGACATCAAGAACATCATCCATGAAGAAAGCAAAAGGTCATTAAAAAGACAGGAAAGGAAGAAGAGACCAAAATGAATATCAGAAGAGACTCTCAAACTTGCCCTTGACTGGAGAGTAGCTAAAGCAAATGGAAGAAATGACTAGATAAAAGAACTGAACAGAAGATTTCAAAGAGCATCTCGAGAAGACAAAGTCAATTATTGTAATGAAATGTGCAAAGACCTGGAGTTGCAAAACTAAAAGGGAAGAACATGCTCAGCATTTCTCAAGCTGAAAGAATTGAAGAAAAAATTCAGGCTCAAGTTGCAATATTGAAAGATTCTATGGGCAAAATATTGAATGATGCAGGAAACATCAAAGGAAGATGGAAGGAATACACAGAGTCACTGTACCAAAAGAATTGGTTGATGTTCATCCATTTCAAGAGGTGCCATATGATCAAGAATCAATGGTATTGAAGGAAGAAGTCAAAGCTGCACTGAAGGAATTGATGAAAAACAAGGCTCCAAGAATTGATGGAATACCAATTGAGATGTTTCAACAAACAGATGCCAAACTGGAGGCACTCACTCGGCTATACCAAAAGATTTGGAAGACAGCTAGCCACCTGGCCAACTGACTGGAAGAGATCCATATGTGTACCCATTCCAAAGAAAAGTGATCCCACAGAATGTGGAAATTATCGAACAATATCCTTAATATTGCATGCAAGTAAAGTCTTGCTGAAGATAACTCAAAAATGGTTGCAGCAGTATATTGACAGAGAACATCCAGAAATGCAAGCTGGATCCAGAAGAGGATGTGGAACAAGGACTATATGAAGAAGAACACGACATCAGGATTGGAGAGAGACTCATTAACAACCTGTGATACGCAAAAGACAGAACCTTGCTTGCTGAAAGTGAAGGTGATTTGAAGCATTTACTGATAGACTGCAGTCTGCAATTATAGATTACACCTCAACATAAAGAAAATGAAAATCCTTGCAACTGGCCCAATAAGCAGCATCACGATAAATGGAGAAAAGATTGAAGTTGTCAAGATTTTGTATTGCTTAGTTCCACAATCAACACCCATGGAAGCAGCAGTCAAGAAATCAGATGGCTTATTGGACTGGGCAAATCTGCTGCAAAGGACCTCTTTAAAGTGGTTAAGATCAAGGATGTCTCTTTGAAGACTAAGGTGCACCTAACCCAACCCCTGGGGTTTTCTTTTGCCTCATATGCATGTGAAAGCTCGACAGTGAATAAAGTTTAGTGTTTTTTGTTTTGTTTTTTTGGTAAGACGAATTGATGCTTTTGAGTTGTGGTCTTGGAGAAGAATACCGAATGTACTGTGGACTGCCAGAAGAGCTAACAAATCTGTCCTGGAGGAAGTACAGCTGGAATGCTCCTTGGAAGCAAGAATGGCCAGACTTCGTCTCACCTACTTTGGTCATGTTGTCAGAAGGGACCATTGCCTGGAGAAGGATATCATACTTGGTAAAGTGGAGGGGCAGCAAAAATGGGGAAGGCCCTCAAGTAGATGGATTAACACAGTAGCTGCAACAACAGGCTCAGATATAGCAAGTATTGTTGGACTGGCACATGACCAGGCAGTATTTAGTTCTGTTGTACATAGGGTCAGTATGAGACAGGACTGACTTGAAGCACCTAACAACAACAAGGACAGTACTGCATACAGCACTGTGTTTCTATAGTCTACATAACATTTGAGTATTAAATGAAAGATAGGAGAGCTCTTCAAACAAAGAGTCAACTTTGTGAAGCTGAGAATTTGTGGAAAAAGAATGAACAAAGATTAAATCACCTAAATACAATCTGTTTCTTTTGAAGTTATATTCACACCCTGCCGCTAACACAGTCCCCTCTCTTTAAAGTCCCATCCCTGACCTTTTCCTGTTCTTGTCATTATCGGAAGATTTCTTTTTGATTCCCTGTGTCTGATATGACCTTATCTTCCCACCTGAGCTTTGCAATCAACTGCTGGTGTGATGAGATACACTATAAATGTCAAGATAAGCCTTTGGTCTTTAAAAACCGAAGATTGTTAATCAGAATTTGATTTTAAAAAGTTTTGTTTTGTTTTAATTTCTAATGACCATCAACTTCTTCATAACCAAACTTGCAAAGTAGCATAAAGTCAAACATAAGGAAAAGTCAAGAAAATCTATCAGGAGAGATAGAGTGGAGGGGCTGTAAGTGTTAGGCTTCTTTGATGAATAATTTCAGGATAGAAAGGTCTGTATGTGCGAGATCTCTGCTCATTCCTCCGGGCGGCTGCCTTGTAACAGCCCAGGCCCTAGGAAGAGATGGGAAGGGCATTCAGTGCCTTACAGCCTTTTTGAACTTTGCTTTCTCTGCTGCCTAACTGAGGATCTTGAGGGCAAGGGACCAAACTTCTGCACGTAACATAAAACACCATAGTGAACTATTTCCCACAATGTGGAACCCTGGGTTTGTGAGATAGATGTTAACAAATTATTTCCAGAAAAACAAATCAGTAGAGGGAAATTGGCTACTTTACTACAGGGCTTCTCAAGAGTCTTTAATATACTAACGAACGAGCATATATCCAGGAGAGCTAATAGTTCATCCTAGACTTCCTTGACAAAAGAATCTCTCTTTTTCCCCTTATGAAGCATCTTGCCCTGGCACATACTGCAGACAACTCTCTTCCAGTTGCCCAAGTTTCTGTGACAATGCTAAAGAAACCCTATTGACACTTCCTGCTGCTTCTTCCTCAGGTGAACCTGTGTTTTGATCAATTTGTCTATAAGCTGGCAGACCAGATCTTTGCGTACTACAAAGCCATGGCCGGCAGGTAAGAGAGCTCTGAGACTGTGAATAATGATCTTTCTTAAGGTTTCCACCAGGATTTTTTCTATTGTAAAACCTCCCTTGTTCCGTAGCACCTAAAGAAAATTGAGCACTTTCATGAGCCTGGGCTAGATGCTAGAATACAGTGGGAAGGACGTAAGCCCTGACCCTAGTGGAGCTTAAAGTCTATTGGAGAAGACAGGCATTAATTTAAGGGGGGGGGGAAAAAAAGAGAGAATAACGAGAGGTTACTGTGCTGCCTTTAAAGGAAAACTTCATGGACTATGAGAGTGTGGTTTCTGTTAAACTTGAACCTGAGCTAGTCTTTGGGACTGGAGGCTGGAAGGGCTTTCCTGAGGAAGTAACATTTGAGTTCATCATATCTGAAGTTGGTAAAAACCAAAAACCAAACTAACTCCCACCAAGTTATTTCCAACTCATTGACCCTATAGGACAGAGTAGAGCTGCCCCATAGGGTTTCCAAGGGTATAAATCTCTACAGAGGCAAACTGCCTCATCTTTGTCTCTCAGAGCAGCTGGTGGGTTCAAACTACCAAACTTTTGGTTAGCAGCCAAATATTTTAGCCACTATGCCACGAGAGCTTCTTGAACTTAGTAGTTAATTCCTACTAAGTGAAGGATGAGACAGGAAATTACAAGCAAAAGGAGTTGCTTGTGCAAAGGCCCTGTTGCAAAAGTATAATAATAATATAATATGCCTACTTCATAGGGCTGTTGAGAGGATTAACATGAATTCATACAGATAAATGTCTCATTCATGGACAGAGTTGCTGTAGTGCAGACCACAAGAGGGAGCAGACTGCCTGGGAATGAAACTGGAAGGATAGGCATGGCCCAGATCATACAGTCTTGCATGCTTAAGGGCAAGATTTGACATTTATCCCAGGAGCCATGAAAAGCCATGGAAGGTTTCCAAAGTAGAACAGTGACCTGATTTGACTTTTCTTTTTAAAAGCTCATTCTTTTGAAAGTAAGAGAGCGTGGAGAATGCATTGGAGATAAGCAGGAATGGGTGTGGGTAGGCCAGATAAAGAGACTAGTAAAGAAGTCTGAACAAGAGACATAGCAAGTAGTAGAGGTTTATTGGTTTTGTTGGCCTTGCTTGTGTATATTGATTTAGACCCTCATGAATTCCTGGGCTTAAGAACCTATAGTAGTAATGTTCAATAAAAACCATTACTGGTTTTAGTTATAGATATTTCCTTTCCTTTCTTATTGGAAATACAAATGTACAAACCAGTAACTTCAAGGATACCTCCCTACCTTTATAAACTATGTTTCCTTCTTTCTGTAAGAAGGATAAATCTGCTTCATTTTGCTTTAGACAGCTAGAGCTACTCTATTTCAAATAGGAGCTGATGTGCAAGATTTTCCAGTGTACACATTTCTGTTAAACATATGCATTAAACACAGTGAATGACTTTTTAAAAAATTAATTAATTTTTTATTTTTGCAGTGTTCCCTCCCCTCTCCTCCCACTCCTACCAAAGGAAAAAACAAAAAACAAAACCTCACTGTCATCTAGTCGATCCTGACTCATAGCAACCCCTCCTTGGGTTTCTGAGGATGTATCTCTACAGAAGTAGGTTTCCCAGTCTTCCTTCTGAGGAGTGGCTGGTGGGTTTGAACTGCCAGCTGTCTGGTTGGCAGTCAAATGTCTTAAGCGTTACACCACCAGAGCACCTCCTCCCACCTCTGGTAACCAACAATGAAAGTTTCTTTCCATATATAAACCTTTCCTTGACTTTTTACAATAATGAACTAATACAAAAAGGTATCCTTCTGTGATTGATTTATGTCACTCAGCATAATGCCCTCTAAGTTCATCCATGTTACGCAGTGTTTTTCATATTCTACATTATTCTTTAGTGTTACATAGTATTCCATTGTGTGCATGTACCATAGTTTGCTTATCCATTCTTCTGTTGATGGGCATCTAGGTAGTTTCCATCTTTTTGCTATTGTAAATAGTGCTGTGATGAACATGGGTGTGCATAGATCTGTTCTTGTCCTGTCTTTCACTTCTTTAGGATATATACCTAGTAATGGGATTGCTGGGTTATATGGTATTTTTCATTCCATCTTTTTAAGGAATCACCATACTGCTTTCCACAGTGGTTGTATCATTTGATAGTCAGTCCCACCAGCAGTGTATGAGAGTTCTAATCTCTCTACATCCTTGCCAGCATTTGTTATTTTCTGCCTTGTTGAGCTTTGCTATTACTGCTGGGGCAAGATGGACAAGATGGTATCTCATTGTTGTTTTGATTTGCATCTCTCTAAAGGCTAATGATCATGAACATTTCTTCATGTGTTTGTTGGCCGCCTGAATATCTCTTTGGTGAAGTGTCTATTCATGCCTTCTGCCCATTTTTTAATTGCATTATTTCTCTTTTTGTTGTTGAGGTGTTGGAGTTTTCTATAAATTTTAGAGATAAGTCCCTTGTCAGATATGTTGTTGCTGAATATTTTTTTCCCCCTGTAGGTTTTCTTTTGGAGAAAGGTTACTCTTTTGTAGGAGTCTTTTGAAGTACATAAAAATTTAATTTTTAGAAGGTCCCAGTCATCTAGTTTATCTTTTGCTGTTTGTGAATTTTAGATTATGTTTGACAGTCTATTTATGCCATAAATTAGGGCCCCTAAATTTTCCCCTAGTTTTTCCTTGAGGAACTTTATAGTTTTAGGTTTCACATTTAAGACTTTGATCTATCTGGAGTTAGTTTTTGTGTATG